TTAGATATAAATAAAAAGTTTTATTATTGTAGTAAATAAACCATTTTGTAAGACGTTTCGGCCACTGGCCTTCTTCAGTTTCTTTACTATCCTTCTTAACTACATGGTAGACATTTTGCTTTCACAATCATTATGATGTCATAGATTAGTTCCTTGGTAATGTTATGACGTCACAATAATTTGACGTCACAATAACATGACATCATAATATCTTTTTATGAATGAAAGTCAAAGTAAATGAAACTAGATAAATTGAAGTCATTCTTTTTTAATGTTGACTCCAAATGGCCTAACTAGTCCCCTACTGACGAAGTCGAAGGGGACTTTAGGTTTGCACTCCGTCCATCTGTCTGTCTGTCCATCTGTCTGTCTGTCCATCCGTCAGTCCGGCAAATCAGCTTTCCACACTTTTTTTCTTCGTTTTTGAAGATATTGATTTGATATTTGGTATATAGTTTTATCATGACAAGTTATAGATCAAGTTTGAATTTTGTTCCGGTCTGATGATTAAGTCTAGAGTTATGGACCATAACTCTGGACCATATCTAATGTTAGAGTACTATGTTAAACCATATTTCTGTACAAAGGGAGATAACTCATTTTTTAAAAGACATTCTTTGTTAAATTATTTGAAGAATTTTTTGACAGGTTTGTTTGTTATTTAGTATAAACTAATTTTCTGAATGCTATATATATCCAAAAAAATTATGAAGAGAAATCCTTTAATTAGATAATAATCTATTTTTATTAATGTATATATTTCAATACATTACATTGTGTAGATAAAAGTTGTTTACATTTTATAGATAAGTTACAAATCTTTATTAGTTTGTGACAAATGAAAGAAAAAAATATTTGGAACTATTAATTATATCTGATTATAATTTGAAATAGATATACACTGTATTACATCATATCTAATTCTAGAGAACTATTAATCATATCTAATGTTTTTTTCATCATGCTTATAAGATATTGATTGATAATTGGTATATAGTTTTATCATGACAAGTTACAGATCAAGTTCAAATTTTTGTTTCGGTCTAATAATTTTGTGCAGAGTTATGGTCCTTGGACTTAAAAAATTCACTCATATAATCAGTTTTCAACACTGTTTTTAGTCATGCTTAAAGATATTGACATGATATTTACTTTTTGTTTACACCATGACAATTTATAGAACTAGTTAGCATTTTGTTCCAGTATAATGAATTTTTACCCGGCAGGGGACTATGTATTGCCATGCAATACTCTCAGAATGCTTGTTGTATTTAGTTTTTGCATCCACTGTGCTTCAATATATCTTCTATAATTGGCAGATTTTTCGTAAATTTTTTGACGAACTTGAACTGTCCTGTTCTCTTTATCATGGTCTTTCTGGTTTAAAGTGCTCAGCTACAGCTTTTTATACGACCGCAAAAATTAAAAATTTTTTGGTCGTATATTGGTATGACGTTGGCGTCGTCGTCGTCGTCGTCGTCGTCGTCCGGCGTCGTCCAAAGACACATTGGTTTTCGCACTCTAACTTTAGTTTAAGTGAATGGATCTCCATGAAATTTCACCATAAGGTTCAATACCACGAAAGGAAGGTTGGGATTGATTTTGGGGGTTATGGTACCAACAGTTAAGGAATTAGGGGCCAAAAAGGGGCCAAAAATAAGCATTTTTGTAACTTTCAGACAATAACTTGTGTGTAAGTGTATGGATCTCTCTGACATTGTACCACAAGGTTCCATATCACAAAGGGAAGGCTGTAATTGATTTTGGGGGTAATTGCCTCAAAATTTTAGGAATTAGGGGCCAAAAAAGGGGCAAAAAACAAGCATTTTTCTAGTTTCATGACAATAACTTGTGTGTAAGTGTTTGGATATTTCTGAAATTGTACTACAAGGTTCCATATCACAAAGGGAAAGCTGGAATTGAGTTTGGGGGTAATTGCCCGAAACGTTTAGGAATTGGGGGCCAAAAAGGGGCCAAAAATAAGCATTTTTCTAGTTTCCAGACAATAACTTGTGTTCAAGTGTATGGATCTCTCTGAAATTGTACTGCAAGGTACCATACCACAAAGGGAAGGCTGGGATTGAGTTTGGGGGAGATGAATCATAAGGGGGTTCAAAAAATTTGGGGGGGGGGGGATTTTTTTTTTTTTTTTTTTTCTTTTTTTCCTTTTTTTTTCTTTTAAAATTTTCCATTTTAAGTTGGTTATTTCTGAATTATATTTAAAAGCAAATAATAATGATATGGTAGGAGATACACACCAAACAGGATGTGTAAATTATTATATAATAAGTATTGTGCAATAGCAAGAAATTTTCAATTGCACAGTATTGCACAATAGCAAGAAATCTTCAATTGCACAGTATTGCGCAATAGCAAGAAATCTTCAATTTAACAGTATTGCGCAATAGCAAGAAATATCCAATAGCACAATATTGCGCAATAGCAAGAAATTGTCAATTGTACAGTATTGCGCAATAGCAAGAAATATTCAATTGCACAGTATTGTGCAAAAGAAGATACTTCGTATAAATTGCTTATTTCTTGATCAATTTCAATGGGGTTTTATTCTTGAATTCTTGGGGTTCTTTAATATGCTGAATCTAACCGTGTATTAAGTTTTTGGATTTTGGGCCCCGTTTTTAAATTGGTCAACATTGAGGTCCAAAGGGTCCAAAATTAAACTTTGTTTGATTTCATCAAAAATTGAATTATTGGGGTTCTTTGATATGCCGAATCTAAAGGTGTATTTAGATTTTTAATTTTGGGTCCTGTTTTTTAAATTTGTCTACATTAAGGTCCAAAGGGTCCAAAATTAAACTTAGTTTGATTTTAACAAAAATTGAATTCTTAGGGTTCTTTGATATGCTGAATCTAAACATGTGTTTAGATTTTTGATTATGGGCCCAGTTTTCAAGATGGTCCAAGTTGGGGTCCAAAATTAAACTTTGTTTGATTTCAACAAAAATTGAATATATGGGGTTCTTTGATATGCTGAATCTAAACATGTATTTAGATTTTAGATTTTTGGCCCAGTTTTCAAGTTGGTCCAAATTGGGGTCCAAAATTAAACTTTGTTTGATTTCAACAAAAATTGAATATATGGGGTTCTTTGATATGCTGAATCTTACCATGTATTTAGATTTTTTATTTGTGGGCCCGCTATCAAATTGGTTCATATTGAGGTCAAAAGACTTTGTTTGATTTCATCAAAAATTGAATTATTGGGGTTCTTTGATATGCCAAATCTAACAGTGTTTTTAGATTTTTAATTTTGGGTCCCGTTTTTTAAATTTGTCTACATTAAGGTCCAAAGGGTCCAAAATTAAACTTAGTTTGATTTTAACAAAAATTGAATTCTTCGGGTACTTTGATATGCTGAATCTAAACATGTGTTTAGATTTTTGATTATGGGACCAGTTTTCAAGTTTGTCCAAGTTGGGGTCCAAAATTAAACTTTGTTTGATTTCAACAAAAATTGAATATATGGGGTTCTTTGATATGCTGAATCTAACCATGTATTTTGATTTTGGACATTGGACCATAATAGGTAAATTAAAAAAATTGAAGTTCTTAGACCACATTCTTTCTGTGTCAGAAACCTATGCTGTGTCAAATATTTAATCACAATCCAAATTCAGAGCTGTATCAAGCTTGAATGTTGTGTCCATACTTGCCCCAACTGTCCAGGGTTCGACCTCTGCGGTCGTATCAAGCTGCGCCCAGCGAAGCATTTTATTCCCTGTTATGTCTAATATCTGCTAGGTGTTCTTTGATTCTTTCATTGAGGGATCTTTCTGTTTCTCCTACATAGACATAGTGGTCACATTTCCCACAGTGTAGTCCATAAACAAGGTTTACAAGTTTACATCTGTGAATGTTGTCTTTGAAAGTGAATGTCTTATCTCCAAGTACAATTTTTTCTTCATTTCTTTCAATATTGCACACTTCACATTCTTCTTTACATGTTTTGCTGTTGCTAATCATTTTTTTAGTGATTTTATTTAACTTCCCATATACTATTATGTCTGCCAAGTTCCTATCTCTTCTGTAAGCTACAAGCGGTGGTTCTGGAAATATTTCTTTCATAATGTTACAGTTATGTAAAATATGGATTCTTTTTTTCACAATGTTGTGTATATCTGGTAGTAGGTCAGTATAGGTAATCACAAGAGGTACACGTTCTGTTGTATTTTTGATTTTTGTTTTTCTTTGTAACAGTTCTTTTCTATTTAGGTTATCTGCTCTTTTCAGTTGGTTTTCAATAAATTTTCCATAGTAGCCTAGCTCTTTTTCGCAGTTGTAATTTAAGTTCTTGTCTGTGTCTTTGATAGTCTTCTTCACTTTTGCAAATTCTCCTCAATCGTAATGCTAACCCATACGGAATTCCGTAAATTATTCTAATTTGGTACCGATCTGGCTCCATGCAATATTGCAAAGATGTCTATATAATTCTGGTGTGGCACCAATCAAATCGCGTGGAAAATGTCACTTGTATCTTTTTTAAGCAATAAATACTGTAAACCAACTAATTTTTTAGGATACTTTATTTCAGGTTTAGCCCTTTTTTACCATCTTCGCAACTATTTTTCTTTGCTATTTTCCAATTTCCTTGATGTAAATGAAAATCAGAGTTTTACATATTCGCAACAACTTATATTCGCATTATTTTTCTACTCGTGAAGGTCGCAAAAATGAATCACTTGCGAAAATTTGCTTGATTACAGTAGTTGGTCAACTTGAACCAAATTTGGCAGGAATAATATTTAGAAGTTCTTTTATAACAATTACTCATCATGTTCTGTTTTGATATGATTTCAGTTTTACAATTAGACCCTTTTACAATTAGACCCTTTTACATTAGAAAAGTTGGATGGGCATAAAACGGAGATTATGATGAATAATTTTATGCTATTTTAATGTTAGCTTGATGGGGGATATATAGTTTTGTAAGTGGAATAGTGAATATTTCATTAGTTTTTTTTTGTTTTTGTTTATTTCAGAACTTGAAAAAACAGTGAAAGAGTCTGAATGGTACAAGAGTTTGACTGAAGAAGTTAGAAAAAAGGTGTCCTGTAAATTTTATGAATTAGTACCAAGGACCTGTGCTGTTAAATATGATATACCTAAGGAAGATGACAACATCAAGAATGTTAAAACATTTAAATTAGAAGTGATGAGAAGTGGAAATTACAGAATTATATTTCTTAAGATGTACAGTATTACCATTGGCCAAGAGGTAAGCGTTGACAAGTTACAGTCAAATCTTTATTCCAAACCTATTGAAAGTTTTCAATTTTTCAAAGATTTTTTGTTTTAAATTTTGGGTTAGAAATGTTTTCAAAAAAGGAAAATGAATGTATGAAAATAATTTTGACATGAGATTACTCAATTTATAGATTTTGTTATCACAATTTCTGCATCAGCTCTGGAAGAAAATGCTTAGAACAGGTAAACCATACCATACTTTCACAAAAATCTATCAAGCATCTTACAACAAAAAGAAAGTTGAAATGACATCTAGAGATGGACAAATATGGTTATCAACAACATAGAAGTTGTCAAACTTTTTGTAAAATCATGACCATATTGTTCAAATTGTACATAAAAGTAACAAACTACCAAAATTTGCTGTTTACACCATAGTTTTTCAAAGGACAAGAAAAAAATCTAACTAAGATAAACAGTTACTAGTTTCCTGATGAAGGACGTGGAAAGCACATCAAAAAGTGGCAGCATTATACAAGTTAAACATATGGTACATGCAGTTCTTGTATAGACATATGTCTTTTTGTTTTTTGCGGTATAGTTAGCTGTATCATTGATGTATACACCACATCTAATTTTATTTCGGTTTGATTTGTATACACCACATCTAATTTTATTTCGGTTTGATTGAAATAATTTTAGACTTGTTACTGTGTGTGTGAGTTTCCTAGTGTGATTGGTACAATGAAAGTAATGGAGGACAATCAGTTGGCCAGATTTTCTCATGCATACCCAGGAGAAGTCAGAGAAGAAGAAGGCCCCACAACTGCTGCTCAATTTACCACTGAAGACAAGAAGTTACAGTTAGGCAGATTTTACTACACAATGAATTCTACTCTTAATCATTTTGATGATTGCAAAGACACAGCTAGAGTTTTGCTGTACAATGGTATGTATTAAAGGAATTCTTTAAAATTGTTAGTTCTTAATTTCATTGAGTGCCAATAATATAATTTATATGCTACTGTATATGTTTTGATGAATTTATTTACCAGTGCTAGATTTACAGGTTTTAGATTAAATAGGGGTAATATTATTTCAATAACATCAATGTCAATTATTTTACTTATAAATGTTTTCATACGTGTAGATTATATAGTTTTAAGAATATAAGACCAAATAACCATATCATTGGTCTCATTGGTAGCATGCTTGCTCCAAGTGGATCTTGTAAGTCAAAGTTCTAGCTTTGTTAAACAAAAATGGGCAAAACTTATACTACTAGCTTCTTCATTCATATTTTGGAGAAAGGGCACCGACTGGTAAGCTAAGAGTAAGAATAATTAATCAGGTTATACATCTTTTCAAGTTAATCATGAAATAGTTGTCAGTAAAAAAATAACCAAAAAAAAAACTAGATAGATACCGTCATGACCGTAGAGCGAGTTTTTTGCATGGATTCAAAATTTCGCATTTAAAGGGCAACAAAGTGTACAAAAAGTTTTGACATTTTAAAATTTTTTGGCTGATTCTTAATTCCCAATTGAATATTTTGGTGTATGCTGAAATGGTTGTAGTTAAAAAGTTGTAAAAATTTCCAGAAAGAAAACGGTGAAACATAGCTTGCTGAAGTTCTGTACAAATACAAGAAACTAAAAGAAATGATTATTTTAATAGTAAAAAATAATAAGAAATACATATGGATAATGAAAAACAATGTTTGAGGTAAATCAATAGAATAACGATAACTTAGATATTTGTCACAGGTGTACAAACTTCTTGTAAATGTTACGGTTGATTAGTTATCAAATTGACCAGACCTTTGATGTACTAATTAGGTTATAAAATTATCAAGTGACCTACAACTCTTATGTAATTTGACATTCATTAATAACAGTTCTTTGGTTTTGAGCCATTTGGCATTTCTTTTGACCTAAACCATATTTCATTTGCTCCAAAATAAAGCATTTCATTTGCACCAATGATGCAGGTAAATTAAAGTAAATAGTATAGAAAATAGATATATTCTAAAGAGACTTTTAATAATAACTTTAAAACACAGTTTTTGGTTACCATAATAAAGCACATTCATTTGAAATTAATTATCATTATTAAAAACCTTAATCTTAAAACACAGTTCTGTTATCAATCAACTTGATCTTTTTTACCTGGTAGTTCTGTGCATATAATATTTGATGGTCTTTCAGTGATGTCATTAGATGCTTTTTAGTCCCCTTCCGACTTCGTCGGTAGGGGACTTTAGGTTTGCACTCCGTCCGTCTGTCCGTCTGTCCATCTGTCCGTCTGTCCGTCTGTCCATCCGTCAGTCCGGCAAATCAGCTTTCCACACTTTTTTTCTTCGTTCTTGAAGATATTGATTTGATATTTGGTATATAGTTTTATCATGACAAGTTATAGATCAAGTTCGAATTTTATTCTGGTCTGATGATTTAGTCCAGAGTTATGGACCATAACTCTGGACCATATCTAATGTTAGAGTACTATGTTAAACCATATTTCTGTACAAAGGGAGATAACTCATTTTTTAAAAATCATTCTTTGTTAAATTATTTGATGAATTTTTTGGCAGGTTTGTTTAAACTAATTTTCTGAATGCTATATATTTTATATATAAAAAAAAAATATGAAGAGAATCCTTTAATTAGATAATAATCTATTTTTATTAATGTATATATTTCAATACTTTACATTGTGTAGATAAAAGTTGTTGACATTTTATAGATAAGTTACAAATCTATATTAGTTTGTGACAAATGAAAGAAAAAATATTTGGAACTATTAATTATATTTGATTATAATTTGAATAAAGATATACACTGTATTACATCATATCTAATTTTAGAGAACTATTAATCATATCTAATGTTTTTTTCACTCGTATAATCAGTTTTCCACACTTTTTTTAGTCATGCTTGAAGATATTGACATGATATTTACCTTTTGTTTACACCATGACAAGTTATAGAAAAAGTTAGCATTTTGTTCCAGTAAAATGAACTTTTACCTGGTAGGGGACTATGTATTGCCATGCAATACTCTCAGAATGCTTGTTATCTATAATGCTATGATGTCGTCGTCGACGTCGTCCGAAGACACATTTGGTTTCCGGACAATAACTTTAGTTTAAGTGAATGGATCTCTATGAATTTTTACCAGAAGGTTCAATACCATAAAAGGAAGGTTGGGGTTGATTTTGGGGGAGATGGTACAAACAGTTTAGGAATTAGGGGACCAAAAAGGGGCCAAAAACAAGCATTTTTATGCCCCCGCTGTAGTGGAAGGGGCATTAAGTTTTAACCTTGTCCATCTGTACGTCCGTCCGTACGTCCCAAAGTTGGTTTCCGTTCTCTAACTTTAGTTTGCCTCAACCAAATTCTATGAAACTTATACACAATGCTTATTACCACTAAATACAGATCAAGTTTGAATTTTGGTGGTGTCACTTTAACAGTTCTTGAGTTATGCCCCTTTACAAATGGAAAAATTGCCGAATTTTTCGTTTCCGTTCTCTAACTTTAGTTTGCCTCAACCAAATGCTATGAAACTTATACACAATGCTTATTACCACTAAATACAGATCAAATTTGAATTATGGTGGTGTCACTATAACTGTTCTAGAGTTATGCATTTTTACAAATGGAAAAACTGCTGAATTTTTCATTCCGTTCTCTAACTTTAGTTTGCCTCAACCAAATGCTATGAAACTTATACACAATGCTTATTACCACAAAATACAGATCAATTTTGAATTATGGTGGTGTCACCTTAACCGTTCTAGAGTTATGTCCCTTTACAAATGGAAAAATTGCCGAATTTTTCGTTTCTGTTCTCTAACTTAAGTTTGCCTCAACCAAATTTTATGAAACTTATACACAATACTTATTACCACAAAACTCATATCAAGTTCAAATTTGGGTTGGGTCACTTTAACCGTTCTTCAATTATGTCCGTTTATAATTTTATATGATATGCAAGCGGGGGGCATCATCTGTGTCCCATGGACACATTTCACATTTATTGTAGTTTCAGGACAATAATTTGTGTGTAAGTGTATGGATCTATCTGAAATTGTACCACAAGGTTCCATATCACAAGGGAAGGCTAGGATTGAGTTTGAGGTTAATTGCCCCGAATGTTGAGGTATTAGGGGCAAAAAAGGGGCCAAAAACAAGCATTTTTCTAGTTTCCAGACAATAACTTGTGTTTAAGTGTATGGATCTCTCTAAAATTGTACTACAAGGTTCCATACCCTAAAGGGAAGGCATGGATTGAGTTTGGGGTTAATTACTCCAAAAGGAGGGTGGGGGTTCAAAAAATTGGGGGGATTTTTTTTTTCAATTTTTTTTGGGGGGTTCATTTTTTTTCTTCAAAATTTTTGAAATTTCAAATTTTTGAAAATCTTCAATTGCACAGTATTGCGCAATAGCAAGAAATCTTCAATTGCACAGTATTGCGCAATAGCAAGAAATATTCAATTGCACAGTATTGGGCAAAAGCACAGTATTGCACAATAGCAAGAAATCTTCAATTGAAAACAACAATTACTCCAAAAGGGGGTTGGGGGGTTTAAAAAGTTTGGGGGATTTTTTTTTCCAATTTTTTTGGGGGGGTTCATTTTTTTTCTTCAAAATTTTTGAAATCTTCAATTGCACAGTATTGCGCAATAGCAAGAAATCTTTAATTGCACAGTATTGCACAATAGCACAGTATTGTACAATAGCACAGTATTGGGCAATAGCAAGAAATCTTCAATTACACAGTATTGCACAATAGCAAGAAATCTTCAATTGCACAGTATTGTGTAATAGCACAGTATTGCACAATAGCAAGAAATCATCAATTGCACAGTATTGCACAATTACACAGTATTGGGCAATAGCACAGTATTGCACAATAGCAAGAAATCTTCAAATATTGGGCCCCATTTTTAAATTGGTCTACATTGAGGTCAAAAGGGTCCAAAATTAAACTTTGTTTGATTTCATTAAAAACTGAATTATTGCGTCTGTATGATTTGCTGAATCTTATTGTGCATTTAGATTTTTATTTTGGGCCCTGTTTTCATTAGTTCATATTAAGGTTTGAAGGGTCCAAAATTAAACTTTGTTTGATTTCCACTAAAATTAAATTATTGGGGTTTTTTTTATATGCTGAATCTAACCATGTTGTTAGATTTTGGATATCAGACCATTCCAGGTAAATTAAATGTCCCATTTCAAATTTTCAAGATCTTTGACCACATTTATTTTGTGTCAGAAACCTATATTATGTCAAAAATTTGATCACAATCCAAATTCAGACAGTATCAAGCTTGATTATTGTGTCCAAACTTGCCCCAACTGTTCATGGTTCGACCTCTGCGGTCGTATCAGGCTGCGTTCAGCGAAGCATTTTATTAAACTCTGATTCTTAGTTGTAGTGATTACTACTTTCGGCTGGTTTACACCATGGTTGTGTTTTTTCAAAGTTTTTATAATTATTCTTTTGTGGTCCACATCTGTCGTGATTCTCGCCTTGCACGTTTTTTTTTGGTAGATCTATATAATTTTAAACCTAAGTGACTCTCAGTTTTGTATTAGAAATGAGTATAAACTCGCTCAATTACCCAGGGGGAATACTCTTAAAAAATTTTTATTCACGTTATAGCAAAACTTACGTTTACCGTTATTGACATGGCGACTAAAAAAATATGGGATCATTCACAAAACTCCTTAGCTATTAGAAAGTACTGAATGTATACATAGATTTTACGCAGAATTTATTTTTGCAAAGTTCGTTTATCTGCCAAAATAAATGAAAATAAACACCCCATGAAAATAACCTGCTATAACTTCCTGTTAACTGAATACTTATGTATTCCTTGATATAATGAATGGCATAGTTGAGCTAATAAAGGGATAAAAGATAAATTACTTTTGTAGAGGGACATAGCTATAGTCTTTTGTTGTTAATGCAAAGTTCTACAGAGAGGAAAAATTGCAATGCCTTTGTTAACAAAACAAGCACATATTATTATAGCAACATGTGCATAGAAAAAAAAGTATAATTGATAAAAACGTATTAAAAATTCCTATAAGATGCCTCTAAAAAAGAAATTTTCTTATTGGACTTAAGGTTTTGCCTTTACTTTTGCCTATAAAAATGTGTTAAACACAACTACTTGTCTTGCTGTTTAGGTACATTGTTGTATTAGGGAATATCTAGTTTAAATCAAAAGAAAAAAAAAAAGAAAAAAAGAAACTTGGAATATTCATATTTAACGATAAATCAATTCTTAGAATGCTGGTATTGTATCAGCAGTAAAAATTCAATCAGCTTCAAAGTGACAGCAAAATATTTTTGTCTTAACAAAGTCATTGTGTTTAATTATAGAATGATGTAGACATTGTATGAACCTTTGATAAGTGGAAACTTTTAAAAAAAACAAACAAGTTTTTGTATAAGAAATTAACAGAAAATCTTGTTAGTTTCCGATCATATTTCCAAGGTAGGCTCTATCTTTTCATAACTTTGCCATGATGAAAATAAGATTTAAACAATACTATTTACATGGCACTAGTAATTTATTTTTTGTCTTAAACAGTTCAATTTGATATTAAGATCATCTGAAAAGTCTGAACTAATTCAGTCTTTCAGTTATTTATCAGACTTACCTTCTACAGTAAATCAGTACTGTTCAGACAATTCAGTTCTGTGCAGTCAATTTTAAAGATCAGTTCAGTCTATGTTCAGACTGTTCAGTAGTTGGTATTATGTGTTCACATTAACATCATACTGAATTTACTGAAGAGCTACTGAACAGTACTGAATGGACTGCAAACAAATTGTCTGAACAATATGGTATTTACTGCAGTGGATAAGTGTGAAAATTGACTGAAAGATTGAATTTGACTGAATAATTTTGCTGTTCAGTCTTTAAAAGGGCATACAAAACAGTTTTGATCCCATGGTGATTTTTTTATGAAAATTTGCTTACAAGATATTTTTCACCTAGTTGATTCAAATTAAAATAAAAAATATACCTTCATGTGCTACTTTTAGAGATAAAAGGGGTTGAAATTTTAGGCATTTACTGGGATACTTCTATCCATTGGACAGACACATCCAACTTATTGTTTCAAAAGATAAACACAAGCGGGTTTTTGTAAATACATTTGGAATATCTTCTTTACATAAGTAAGCTCTAGATTTGTGTAATAATTCTTTGGAAATAATTCTTTTTCAATAAATTTTCATGATTTTATTAAAAAAACGACATTTTTTTCTGTATATTGATATCTTATTTGATAAGAAATTGATGATTTTTTCATAAGAATTGAAACAAATGTTCTTTGTAGATAACAAAGTTAAATGTCATTTCAAAAATGGGGTCCATGTACTCGTTTTCAAGCTAGTGATTAAAATCATTAAAAAAATGCATCTTTTCCTAATACATGTCACAGTTTGACAACATGAAATTCTTATTTACATTAGCAACATCATTACCTCCCTTGCAACTGTATTGGATGCCCTTAAAAGAGCAAATGATCCTTTCAGATCAAAATTAATGAATAGTGAGGTATTTTTGTAATTGCAGATGAAAAAAAGAAGATTTCGGATGTTTTGATGGAGGCTATTAAAAAAGACTTAAAAGAAGAAAATTTTCAGGAAAAGAAATTTAAGGTATTTTTGTTTTTGATTCAGTTATATATTTGTACCAAGGGTCTGGAAATGTGCCAGTCATGACCTAAACTGAAAGTTCATTGACTGGAATGGTAGATTTGGATTTAGGTAAAAAAAAATTTTTTACAGAAATAATTTCGGTCATTTTATTGAGATCTGGTTTCTTAATTGCTGTTTTCACTACATTTTGTTTTGTAATGCTTTCCCAGTTATAATACTGCCACTCCAGTATAGTATGATAATTGTGAGAGCCCTCCTAACAACCATCATAATATTAATGCCTCCGAGAAATATTGGCTAATGATCGCTATTCACTTTTTACCTGTGTTTTTCAAACCTAACAGAAGTGATCAAGCTGGGCCCATTGCATTTGCGCCAATTTTTATAAAATCCAATCTTTCATTTGCGCCACAAGGTTATATTTCATTTAGGCCAAAAAATAAAAACTACATTTGCACCATTTTACAGGTAATAATGATAACAGAAAAGTCTAAACAGTCATTGCTATATTGTGAATAAGATTATTTATTTTAGTATTCCACCTTGGTAATTAAGTGAGTTCGTATACTCATTCTTAATACAAAACTGAGAGTCACTTAGATTTAAAATTATATAGTGTTCACATGTTTGAGTTGTCGAGATGGACATTGTCAATTTGGAGACATATAGAGGAAATAAGTCTGTTATTTTTAATGACCACACATATAGGTTATCTTATGTTCTTAATGCTTACAAGGTTTGTGCCAGAACAGACTTATAACTTTACTCATGTGTATAGTGCTTAGGTCAGATCATAATTTTACTCCAGTGTATAGTGCTTTCTTTTAGGTTTTATGATCACTTTGATTTATAACAGAACTGTGTTTTAACATTATAGTTTTATGATGACTGAGTTCTGATGAATATGTTTTATTTTGCTAACAAAAACTGTGTTTTAAATTTATTATTAAAAGTCTCTTTTGAATAATTCTATTTTGAATATGATTACCTGTATTATGGGCACCAATGAAGTGTTTTATTCTGGCACAAATGAAATATGGTTTGCGGCGCAAAGCACTGATTAAGCTCAGACATATTGAGCTCAGAACTAATATTTTAAAGAAATTCTATTCCATTACAACTCACTTCATTATTTATGAACTTTTTAGTAAAGACAAATGCCAATTCTGATTTAAAAAAAATTTAAACTTTTATTAAATTTACGTTGAAAAAAATAATGTTTCACAAGTCAAACATGTGCTTTATTTACCATGTAATATGCATGCATGAAATTGTCCTCATCAGATAAGACACTTAAATTGTAAAATGCAAAAAAAGATTTCATGCTAATTAAACGAGTGAAACTATTGTCAGTTATATAAAACTTTAACAGGTAATAAAATAAAAAATACGATGATTTCCTGTCATTTGATAAACAGAACAAATCCCATAAGTGAATGCGGAATCACTCGTAATTTAGTATTAACTGGAAACTTCTGGTTTTTATTTCATCTTCAAAATTGAAAAAAGCATTGGCAATTTCTGAGAAATTTATCGTTTTGAGTCATTAAAATCATTTCAATTTGAAAGTGTTGCACTCAATAAATCGTTATTGAACGTTTTTAGAAAACAGTAAGAAACTTCATGAGGTAAATGTGATGAAACCAGTAAATACAAGTTGTTTGATACCATGAATCTAGTGTGAATAATTTCGACAGTTTGAAAAAAAGACCTGAACTTTCAAGTCATCTCAAAAGGACAGAAATTGTGTGTTGTACCCAATATTAATTAAACTCAATGTTGTAGAGTTGTTTAGGCTTTCAATTTTTTTAACCTGTCTATCTGTTATTCCATCCGTCAGTATTTATAGATATTTTGGATTTTAGAAAACTTAATATGGTATTAAAATATTTCTTAAAATTTTATTTTTTTTTAATAACTACAAGCCATAGCTTCTTGAAGTATGGCACCCAAGCTTCATCTTGTTATGCCATACTATTTGACTTGTTTTCAGTTCCTTAAACAGTCTACTTCTTGTTTGGTGGAAACTTATATCTTTGAAATATCATACACTTATATGAAATTTTAGTCACAGATTACCCATGGTTTTTGGTGGGGTTTGTGTTGCTCAGTCTTTAGTTGTCTATGTTGTGTTTCTTAGAATGTTGTTTGATTTTAAGTTTGGATTTTTTTTGGTTTTTGCCCTGGCATTGTCAGTTTGTTTTCAACTTATGAGTTTGCCTATCTTTTGGTATCTTCCGCCGCCCCTCTTTCTCATCAAAAACAAATTTATTTATATATGGCACCATGATTCATGTGGTTATGCAATACAGTTTGACATGTTACAAGTTCCTTCCCTGTTCTCCTTCCTATTTGCTGAAAACTTATAAATACCATGTCTAAATATAATGTGTCGTCCAAAGACCTCTAGACTTTTCTTTGAAGTGGATACAAAGAACATTCGGTGGAATTAAACAATTATATCATGCTATCAAGGGATATTTGCCAAAAATACCGGTTTCGAGGTAAACAAATTTCCCTTGCCTAACTGCGCTGGAAATTTGTTTACCTTTATTTTTGGCAAATACCTCTTGTAGCATGATATATTTGTATAATAGTTCACAGTACATCTTGTTGTATAATTATCTTTTCAGGAAGGTAATCAACCTCCGCAGATTGACAGGTTAGAGTCTGAAGAAGAATTACAGTATGAATATCAAGTGTATGTTGCTTATACAGACCACCATGAAGATAAACAGAAGGCACAGCAGATAATGGACCATCTTAGGGAAAAGCGGATTGCTGATAGTGATATATTGGATGCTGATTCATTTTTACCAGGTTCTCCATGGTCTCACAAACTGAAAGCAGCTTCATGCAAATGTAGATGGTTTATCTTTCTTTTGACAAAAAATGCTCTTAAAGATAAGTCCTTAAATTATAATGTTATATCAGCACTGGGTGACAGCATATATAGAAGAAAAGTTCGAGTCATTCCTGTTGTGGACAGCTGTGATCATTTGTTTATTCCTGAGGCACTGAGATGGATCACTTATATTCCATTTGACATAAATGGTAGACATTTGGAGAGTTTATATAGTATTGTCAGTGGTATGTTTCTTTTCAATTAAGCACAGGTGAACGAATTTAGAAAATCTTGTTTCAATTAGACCAATCTGATTTACTTCAGTTTGAATAACTTGCTTGTTGCATGCAGTTAATTTCTTTTGAGCTATTATGGTTTCTTACAAGGCACGCATAAATAATAAGAATTCTGGTGACAAAATTATCTGCATTCAAACTATTTGAAATTTGATCCATGAGGATGCTATAAATTAAAAATGAAAACTAAAAAAAAGAAAAGACGTAATTCAATATAAGCCCAAGATTGATCAGTTGACTGAAGGCCTTTTTAAGGACTTGCTGGGTAGTTGGACGTCAGAACGCAGTCAATAAATAAAACATTGAAATTGCAAACCAAACTAGGGGCAACAAGTTTCTGTTAGAAATCATAATAGATCCATTGTCAGGCAAATAAAACGTACACTTTTTGTTTTGTTTTTTATGCCCCTGCTGTAGCAGAGGGGGCATTAAGTTTTACCCTTGTCCGTCTGTCCGTACGTACGTAAGTACGTCTGTACGTCTGAATGTCCCAAAATTGGTTTCTGTTCTCTAACTTGAGTTTGCTTCAATCATATGTTATGAAACTTATACACAATGCTTATTACCACAAAACACAGATCAAGTTTGAATTTTGGTGGCGTCACTTTAACCGTTCTAGAGTTATGTCCCTTTATAAATGGAAAAATTGCAAAATTTTTAGTTTCTGTTCTTCAACTTAAGTTTGCCTCAACCAAGTGTTTTGAAACTTATACACAATGCTTATTACCACAAAATACAGACCAAGAATGAGTTTTGGTGGAGTCACTTTAACCATTCATGAGTTATGCTCCTTTATAAATGGAAAACAATGCAAAATTCCATTCTCTAACTTAAGTTGCCTCAACCAAATGTTATGAAACTTATACACAATGCTTTTGACCACAAAATACAGATCAAGTTGAATTTTGGTGGCATCACTTTAATCATTATCAAGTTATGCCCCTTTATAAATCGAAAAATTGCAAAATTTTTAGTTTCTGTTCTGTAACTTAAGTTTGTCCCAACCAAACATTATGAGACCTACATGTATACACAATACTTATTACCACAAAACTCAGATCAAGTACAAATTTGGGTAGCGTCACTTTTATCCTTCTTGAGTTATGTCCCTTTATACTGTTGTATGCAAGCGGGGGTATCATCTGTGTCCATGGGGACACATTCTCCATTTATTTTTTGAGATATTTTTCTTTCTTTGAGTCTCCTTCATTTGTAAAAGGAAACGGTTCCTTTTCAGAAATAACATTTTAAAAAATGACAGAAAAATACGAGATGTACTCACCTGAATGTGAACAGCTGGTGAACAAAACACATGACTAAATTATAATTGGGTAAAAACCACTCATTATGAATGAGGAGGTGACAATTTCCAAATAGCAGGAGATCCAAAAATCTGCACAAGAGACAGGCACCGAGTGGTAGAATTTTTGGAAATATATAAGGATGGTCCTGTCGAGATTGAGAGAGTTGACACCTATAAACTTAGGTGGACTGTTTTTAGTGTCATCATCAGGATCAACAATTTATTAAAGTTTGTGATTAGCTTAATATAGGTCAGTTTATTTTAAAACAATAATGCAATTGACTTTGAAACTTTCGCAAAGTTAACATACCAAGTTTTTAATAAGTTCAGTTTAAGGGGAACTCCTCATGATATGTCAAGTATATTTGGTATGCAGTTGTATGACTATTGGCATATTCATTTCCAGGGAGATTATATAGCTCTGCACCTTCAAGTATGGTTCATTGACTTTGAACATTTAGCATATTTTAAAATAGCTGTACATCATTGAACTGCAAAGATTCAACATTCAGTTCAGCGAATTGGAAAAAATCTTTTACTACATTTGATTTTCAGGTCAATTTTTACCTAAATTAAACATTCTATTGGTAATTTCTTACACATAATGTGATATCTCAAGCTCTGACTGATCTGTATAAAGATTTTTACACAACCTTTTGTTCAACGTAGACAAGTTCAATTTTGATTTTGAGGGATTTGACATTTAAGAAGTTATTACTATTACTGTTAAAGATTACTAAAGTTCAGGCAACTCATGTGATTGTGGCACAGCTGTTTATTACAAAAGTTCTTACTAAATAATATAACGTATAGACCTAGTTTAATGATGACAGGCATAAATAATAAGATTAAGAATTTTGAAACAAAACAGGGTAAAATGTTTGTTATATGAATTTGGACAATGTGTAGAGTAAAGTAATCTGAAATCTTGTTAAGGCCCTTGCTTAAGTTTTGAGTAAAATGTTAGTTGTAAGACCTGATGTAAAATTGTCTTTTAAGCACTAAATGAAATTATCCTTGATTACAATGTGAATGCACATCTTATCTAAATTAAATGCAATTTTTCACAGCCTTCAAAATTGTATAAGGCTAAAAGATAGTTTTGAATAAAATAAGTTTGGTATTTAATCAGGAAGGGATATTCCAATGGAGACACAGATGGTACTGCCAGCAGGTGATGTGGCCTATGGTCTAGCTTGGGGATATGTCACAAATTATCTAATGAAGATATTACCAGGTATGTTTTTGTTATATAGGACATACTCTTTCTCTCTCTTATCCATGTGCATTTTTCTTGCACTATACATTATCAGTGGTTGTTCTAAACTGAAATTTGAAATATTTGTATCAAACTGTTTTTTCTGTAGGCTTTCAAGAGAATCCCAATACTTTAAATGAGTTACAACTTAATATAAATAGGTATCACATTTTTTCCTTAGCATCTCAAAAGAAAGCTGATTAGATATTGTATGCCTAAAAAAGAAGATGCCGAGGCAGCAATCACAGTCAAATAAAACCCTAGTCAAAATAAACGACAAAAAAACAAAAAATTGTTCAAAAAGTATTATACAGAAACTTAAGATTGTATAACAATTTTAATACAAATGTATACAAATTCACTTAAAATTATTAAATGCTGAATATTTACTGCATTGTAGAGGTTTTAAAAGGAATCAGTCCTGTATTTGAAGAAAAAGCGGTAAAAGACTTCAGATGTCCTCACAAGCTGTTCATAGTCATTCCTAAAAGTTGTAGTGCTGGGGATGTTTTGAATGATAAACAGAATGACCCTGGAAGGATTGAAAACTTTTCAAAAACTGCAGCTGTGTATCCATTTGGACCAGATCGAGCATTCCACTGTAATATTTATAAAGTGTCACCAAGCAGTTTTAATATGAATGAGGTACAGTTAATTTGATGTGTCATTAAAAAATAAGTACTTTATTTGATAATTAAGCATCTAACCATCTAAAAAAGTTTTAGATAAACAAAATAAATGATCAATGGATTAAAGTACAGGTAAATTGCCAATAAGCGTGCCTAAGACACCTAATACATATGGCAATTTTTGACAGATGTATAACTTTTCAACTAAACAAAAAAAATTTACATTGTTAATTATACTCTCAGAACTCTGATTTTTTTTTCAAGTCACCAAAATTTTAACTCATCTAAATTCAATTTGTATAAATTATTATTGTATTTCAACATCAGAAAATAGATATGATTTCATTCATGCAGAACTTTGAGACAATAAGAGTTGACTGTATGCCATCTTCAACTATTTAATCCCTATAATTGCAAATTTTCTCTTTGAAAAAAATACACAGGGGGTTCCTCTGGGATCCACCTAGACTGACCTGCAGTTTTAGTACGTAAAAGCATGTCAACTGTATGACACTAGTAAATAATCTTAAAAACATTTTCTTACAAAGTACAAAAACATTTAGCTCAATAACTTCTATAAAAGCTGCACAAGAACACAGACAATTTATTTTATTGAAATTAAAGTCACATTGTCATTATTAGATGCAACAGAAAAAAGGTCTAAATTCTGTTATCTGTAATTTACTAATTCACCAAAAAAATCAATTATCAGCAAAATATTCTTTAAGGTTGCTGAAAATAGAGAGAAAACAATAATTTTCATGATTTTTGTCTCACCTGCAATATAAAAGGCAGGTCATAGCATTGCTACATTCTTTCCATTGCCTCAGTGTCATCAACATTTAGGTTCAGCCTGAAGTTTATTTTAAGACCTCAATAACTTCACAATCCTTTATGAAATATTAATAAACTTGGACAGAAGCTTCTTCATGATGGACACCGAGTGTGATATAAAAAAGTGATACAAGAACTGTGTTAATTTGATTGGCTAATATACAGCATCATGAGACGAATTTATGACATTTCCATTGGCTATTCGTTAGGTCATTGACGACTTTCAAGAGTTAAGACAATTCACATTTCGTCTATGGCAACGGATATATGTGATTTCTTCATTAATATACAAAACACGCACACTTTTCACCTGAAATCTTCTTTTAGTCAAATTTCATTAAATTCCGAAGCGTAAAAAAAGTTTTAAAATGTTTGATGTTAAAGTTTGACCCCGGAACAGGACATATGAGGTCATACAAGTATGTGCAAAAGACTAGACCAACGATTTACAGAATTTGAATTAGTTGACCGTAAGAGAAATAGGTTTAACAGCTCTCTCGTTATTTAATTTGAATAGTAATAGTAAACTTGTCGAGGCTCATTTATTATTATATTTAAATTGAATAACTTAACTTGATATCAAGCAATATCCATTTCTCACTCGTTATGAACCTATAATTAACTAATTATTTTAAAATAAGAAAGCAAATATAAGCTTAATACCGCAAAGAAAGCTGAAGATTAAACAAAGATGACTTTTTAGCTGTTCTGACAAATTCCAGGGGCTGTAATTATGTTAAAGGTATGTCTAGCCTTTCCTGAAACTCCTTATTTCACTATATAAAATGTAAAAATACACGCTATTTAGAAAGGAACCCATGAAAAACTTATGTTTTACTGCTATGTTCTTAATTTAGTAATAATTACCTTGTTGGTTTATTAGTAGGAAACACCATAAGGTATTGTTAGTTGATATCATTTATTTGGTGGTCTAAGAGGAGAAGTGTTTTTAGAAGGTTTAGAGATGGAAAATGACACAGTGATGGCAATAGCTCACATTGACTTGAGGCCGTTCTTGGTTTAAAAACATATATTTTTGGTTCCCTAATGTGATTTGAATCTTATTCTTTTGTTTCACTCTTTTGAATGCAGACTTAAGAAATTTTACCTAATTGCAATTTATATCATCAAATCTGACATTCAGTTAGTATTAAAGTAATTTGACCAAACTGCTCCAGTAAAACCAGTCATGGCATGAATGTTAGTGCTTCAATCCAAAGAATATCATATATTTCTAATATTTGAAATCCAATACATGCATGAAATTGACACTGCCTTAAATTGTGCTGTTTGGGGAAAAAATGTTACCTATTGAATTGTTTAATTAGATGAAACAAACTGGGGTAGTTTTAGATTTTTCTATGAACTGCAATAAGATCAATGAATTACTCAATGTCGGGTCACAATGAAATTTAGGTTAAAAAGTGAAGTGACAAAAACATAATAAACTATTACGGCTCTCTGATGAGGGGGATATCTCAAGATTCATAGGACTGGAACTGTTTTATTAAATAGAACAAATATTGACATTCAGTTTGACCTCACCAGCTGTGATTAATAGGGTACGATGGTGAATAACATTTGTTTGTAAAATGTTAAATTTTTGTAGGGATTATACTTTGTTGGGCAGTATGCTGCACCTGTGACTTGCTTACGAGAAATGAAAACATGGAATATTGCTGGAGTTAACTTGGAAACAATGGCATCAGAAGCTAAAAGGTTTTATGAAATTGTTAGTCAATTGATGAGAAATGCAGTACCAGAGAAGGCTCAGTTTTGTGAATTTATTTACTATGATGGTAGGCAGTGCATATTAATAACAAATACTGCATTAGATTGGAATAACTGAAACTTGTTGAAGTTCTTTCCTATGGCATCATCTCACATGTATTGAATATAGTTCCAAATGTTCCAATATCTGTAATTATGCATAAAATAATGGTGAAAAATTTTGATTATATCTTTAGAGCTGTTATACTCAGGTATGAAAATTTCATAAACTCTTCCTTTTACATGTCTATCTTAAAAACCCAAACTACAGATCTTTTGACTTACAAAATTTAGTGTAACAACTTGTTTCTTAAAAAAGTAATATTTGTAAGCAATTGCTTCTTGTCCATGATTCTTGTAACAGTTTTAAAAAACCTAGTATCTTGGTCGTTAATTCAGTTACTTTTGATTAACAACTCTTGACCTCAGTAGTATAAAGATGTCTTTGATGTAAAAAGAAATGCATTGTTGCTGCAATTAAGTGGAAGTAATTGTGGTATTGGTTATCTTAAATCTCTCATATGAAGCTTTAGACATGTATTAGACCAATATTGAAGATTTAGGAAACCAATGTTCGTGAGCAGTCTGTATTTAATGTGATTTATGGAAACATTGAAGTTGTCAATTGTTCCTAGTGACCTGAAAATTAATGTTATGTGAATTTTCACATATATGTTTTTATATGGAAAGATTGATGTAGATTTTACAGAAGTTTTAACTTGGTAATATTTCTGTCTGAAGAAAATGTCAACATAAAGCTGTGTCTATAAAGTATATGCAGCCTTTTTTAGCTCACCTGGCCCAATGGGCCAAGTGAGCTTTTCTCATCACTTGGCGTCCGTCTTCCGTCGTCGTCCATTAACTTTTACAAAAATCTTCTCCTCTGAAACTACTGGGCCAAATTTAACCAAACTTGGCCGCAATCATCATTAGGGTATCTAGTTAAAAAAATTGTGTCTGATGACCCTGGCTGCCAACCAACATGGCTGACATGGCTAAAAATAGAACATAGGGGTAAAATGCAGTTTTTGGCTTATATCTCTGAAACTAAAGAATTTAGAGCAAATCTAACATTCGGTAAAAATGTTTATTAGGTTGAGATCTATCAGCCCTGAAATTTTCAGACGAATCAAACAACCAGTTGTTGGGTTGCTGCCCCTGAATTGATAATTTTAAGGAAATTTTGCAGTTTTTATACGCCCGTTTACGGGACGTATTATTGTATACGTCTGTCCGTCTGTCTGTCCATCCATCGTCAACATGTCGGACATTAACTCAAAAGCGCTTTAACCAATTTGCATAAAACTTTGGTGAATTGTTTATATCTATTGACGTGAGCTCCCTTTCATTTTTTATAAATTTTAGATTTTACGTTTCCGAGTTGTGGGATTTTATTCATTAAAAAAAAGGGGGATTTTCCAGTTTTCGGACAATAACTCAAGAATGCTTTCACCAACTTTCAAGAAATTGTGGTGAATTGTTTATATCTATTGACATGAGCTCCCTGTTGATTTTTATAAATTTTAGATTTTACGTTTCTGAGTTATTGGGTTTTATTCATTAAAAAAAGGGGGATTTTCCAGTGTTCGGACAAAAAATCAAAAATGCTTTCAACAGTTCTTATGAAACTTTGGTGAATTGTTTATATCCATTGATGTAAGCTACGTTTAGAATTTTATAAATTTTTCATTTATCATTTCTGAGTTATGGGGTTTTATTCATTAAAAAAGGGGGGATTTTCCAGTTTTTGGACGATAACTTCAGCAGTTCTTATGAAACTTTGGTGAATTGTTTATATCTATTGATATAAGCTTCCTTTACTTTACATTTTCATAAATTTCTAATATGACATTGAGAATTAATTGAACTTTATTTGTTTATAGTCTGACAACAGATTTACTAAGTATTGCGCAACAGCACAGCGTATTGCACAACAGCAAGAAATCTTTAATTGAATATAAATTCAATTCATATAACCAATTTCAAGTTCTTTGACTACATTTATTCAGAAACCTATAATATGTCAAATATTTAATTACAATCCAAATTCAGACCTGTATCAAGCTTGAATATTGTGTCCATTTTTGCCCCAACTGTTCAGGGTTGGACCTCTGCAGGCGTATCCAGCTGCGCTCAGCGAAGCAGTTTATTGGTTATTATCTTGAATATTATTACAGTTAGAAATAAACTGTAAACAGCATTAATGTTCAGCAAAGTAAGATCTACAAATAAGTCAACATGACCAAAATTGTCACTTGACCCCCTTAAGGAGTTATTGCCCTTTATAGTCAATTTTTAACAATTTTTCGTAAATTTTTGTAATCTTTTACAAAAATCTTCTACTCTGAAACTACTGAGACAAATTTAACCAAACTTGGCCATAATCATCATTAGGGTATCTAGTTTAAAAATTGTGTCCGATGAACCGCCTGCTAACCAACATGGCCGACATGGCTAAAAATAGAACATAGGGGTAAAATGCAGTTTTGGCTTATATCTCTGAAACTAAAGCATTTAGAGCAAATGTGATATGAGTAAAAATGTTCATCAGGTTTAGATCTATCTGCCCTGAAATTTGCTGCCCCTGAATTGGTAATTTAAATAAATTTTAATCTATTACAAAAATCTTCTCCACTTAATCTACTGGGCCAAATAGAATTAAACTTAGCCACAATTTTCAATATGGTATCTTGATTGAAAAATATATCTGATGACCCTATCATCCAACCAACATGGCCGCCATGGCTAAAAATAGAACATAGGGGTTTACTATAGAAGTCTAAGGGAAAATTGTAAAAAAAAAATTTCAAATGGTCACAACTTGAAAACTAATTTAAATAATGATAAGGGGTCTTCAGTAACTATTGTACGACTACAATGTGATGACCTGTTTTAATTTAACTACTGGGTCAAATTAAACCAAACTTGGCCTCAATCATTATTAGGGAATCTAATACTATTAATTATGATTTTAACCTTATTTTCCATGATTTCCAAAACAACAGTAGATTCAGGTGAGCGACACAGGCTCTTGAGAGCCTCTAGTTTATTATGCCCCCGAAACTGAAAGTTGGGGGGGATCTTATTTTACCCCTGTCCGTCACTTCGTCTGTTTGTCTGTCCGTCAGTCCGTCCGTCCGTCCATCCCATTATGGGTATATAGTTTTCCAGATAGCTATTCTTACAGTTTGAATGTTAGGAACTTTTCACTTTGCTGGCTATTTGTACATATATTGAAGGTGTGCATGTGGTCAGGGTTTTGATTTTTATTAATAATTGGTCTTTTGGGAGATAGTTGAACTTTGTCATTTTTTGGAGTATTTACTGGCATAAGAGGTGCATGGGGTTTCCAGATAACTCCTCCTACAGTTTGAATGCTAGGAACTTTTCACTTTGCTGGCTGTTTGAACATATATTGAAGCTGTGCATGTGGTCAGGGTTTTGATTTTTATTGATATTTGCTCTTTTGGGAGGTCGTTGAACTTTGTCATTTTTGGAGTACCAGTATATACTTGCATAAGAGATGCATAGTGTTTCCAGGTTACTCTGCCTACAGTGAACCATATGTATTTTAAAATAACACTTTGCGTCTGCGGGGGCATTATTTGTGTCTGCTAGACACAATAATATCTCAAAGAAAGTTCTACATTGACTTTGTTATAATACAGTTACTTCAGAGTGGTGTGCGGGGGGGGGGGGCATCACTTTGTCTAGTCTTCATAATACTGTCTATTATAATAATGCATGCACAATTAAAGAAATGTAAATAGTCTAAAAGTGATGCCTCTAGGAAGAAACAATGTGATGCAAAATGTAGATTTAAATATGTAATAAATTGGAATAAATATAATCAATGTCATTGTCTATGAAATTGGAATTTCTACAATACTGCATTCAATAATGTTGCAGTAGTACCCAGTATTAGTCTTTTTATGAGATTGATTTAAACTCAACCTCATGCATATAATGACAATAAATGTATATATTATCATATGTCCCTATGTTTGTTTACTTTGCAAACTTCTGCACAAAACTTTTGACCTATGACCTATATTATCATGACATTATAATGTTATGATGTAACAATTTTTTTTAGGTCGTTTCAAATATGATTTAGACCAAGAAAATCCTTAAATGAATATGATAAATAAATTGTCAGTTTTTCAGCATACATTATAAAGTCAAATGTCTACCTCTCAATGCAATATGAAGCTTTTAGCTCTCTTCTTGTCTCTCTAGCCAAAACAACTTCATACTGTGACTTGAAGCTAGTATTTCACGATATTTGTGTGCAAAAAACTATTAATCAATATTAAACATGCAAAATAAGACCATGACTTACTTTAATATTAAACTTTGTTTTAATACAAACCTTCATTTGAAATAAATATTTAAAAAGTATTGGATATTAATATAATATATGTGAAGTTTTTTTTTTTTTCAGATATGACACATTCCTTAGCAGATATAATGGAGCAGAAAATCCAGAGTATGAAGGATTGACCATGAAAGGTTTATTGGACCTGTTAGCTTTGACTTTTTTATTGAAATATTAAAAAGCTTTACTGGTGATATGGATATCTCATTTCTGGTACTTGGGACACAATCCACTTAAATGCTGATCTCAGCTAAATTTACATATAATGTGATAAATACTCATCTGATTTATATCATTTGTGGTTCTTGGTTGTCTCATGATTTTTATGTTGTACAATAATCCAAGTTTGCTTTTGTTAATTTTCATACATGGAAGTGTAGAAAGAAATAGTCCTTTACAAAGTCATATCAGTAATTCTAAAGTTATGGAACATTGTTCTCCAAACAAATTCAGAACATCTTAATTTCTATGTTGAACAATAACTAATCAACTTTTTATTGGTAGTCCTGTTTTTATAGCACCTAGAATCTCCAAGCTTTAAGAGGTAAAAAGGACAGGAAAAGTGCACTTTTACATATACATATATTTTGTTTCCATCACATTTCGATTGAATTTTTTGTTTTGTTACTTTTGAAACGAGCTTCTGGTAATACAGTTGTATTTCAACAGATTTTACAAAACCCATATATTTTAGAGCCATATGAGGCCAAGAGGCCAACTTGATTTGATCTGTTTCAATTTATAAAGTCCATAGGGATGCATTTTAAATTTTAATTCCATCCAAACATTCCTGCTTGATTTTTTTTTTATCTTTTTAATTGCAACTTTCTTTTTTTTTTTAGTAATAAGCCATCTAAAAATTGAAAATGTCAGTTTTACATTGTACATAGATTAGTAATTGGAATTTTTACACACATTTTATTTGATTTTTCCTTAGTTTTCTGTCATAACTTGTTTTCAAACAAAACAAATATTCTTTTATTTGATGTTAATAATGTAAAAAATTACTTTGCAATGTCTTAATTTCTGAATTCTATATGATACACAAAAAAACTCTTAATTTTGCATTGTATCAGTCAATGAAAGATTTAGTCAGTTATATGTGCATTTCAACTTTCAAACAGTCTGGTACCTTTTCACTAGTCCACGTTTGTATTGTCAGCTGCCAAAGGAGTTTGTAAAAAAATCTTTTGAAATTAGTTTCATCTTTTACATATTTTTTTTACAGTTTTTTGTACATATACACATCAATTACATGTTACTTATTACTTGCTGGATAGGGATATTTTAAAATTTGTCTTTTTATACTTTCATACTTCAGTAAGATTTGAATTGTATATTTTATGCAATAAAGTCATATCAAATTTCATATATGTTAGAGATAATTGATGTATAGAAGTTACTATGAATTTGATATATGATATTTACAGCCATTGAACTTATATATTTTTTTGTTTTAAATGATGTTATATTTCTATTAAAAAAAATATTTGTTGTGTTAAGAATTTTCTTTTGAATAGATAAAAAATAGTTATATCGAATAAAATATATAAACAGAATATATAGTGAATAATTTCTTCCTTCATAAAGTCAGTAGATGATAGTCTAAAACAGAGGATTTGCAGCAGTGGGAAATCTGGTGTCCAAAAACTACCTCCCCTGCAAACACTGAAAACTTTTATCTTTTCACCGTTTATTCCGTTTAAGCAAGAACAATTTAATTTATAAATTCACAAGAAAACGGCCATGTAAATAGTTAAACCAAAAAAAGGTTTAAATAAAAACAAAACTTTTATCCAAGACATATAATTATATGTCTCTGCTTTTATATGATATTATCATTTCCCTCCTAATACAGAAAACGATGAGTAAAGCAGGCTACAGGAGCTTTGTGTAAAATTGGTTTAAAACGTTGCTATATATCATTCCACTGACTTCCAACATCAATTGATTTTTGTACTCTTGGTATACCTCTAATGCCATTTATCTGTATATGTATGCAGTAAGATCAGAGAAGTTCAGGACAAAAATACCAAAAGAATAGAATGATATGCAGCAAACATTTAAACTTTTGAAATTAAGTTACTAAGCAAATTGAAAGGAACATTATCTCAATGTGAGCATTGAATGTGAATACATCAAGAAGACAGCACATACATTTACAAAAATTGAGATGACCTGTTCTTAAAACTATAAAAAGAAAGTAAAAATCCTCATTTGTAAAAATATTAAACTTTTTTTTTAAATTGCACAGACCCTACTTTTAAATTGTTATTTTGATGAAAAGACAATATTTCTATCTAAAATTGGTGAGTGACTGGAAAGAGTTTTAGATTTTGTATGAACTTGATTTTTATTCGCCCATTTACGGGACGTATCATGGTATACTGTTGTCCGTCCGTCTGTCCGTCCATCCGTCGTCAACATGTCGGACAATAACTCAAAAACGCTTCAACCAATAAAAAAGGGGGATTTTCCAGTTTTCGACAAAAACGCAAAAACACTTTCCCCAATTTGCAAGAAACTTTGGTGAATTGTTTATATCTATTGACATAAGCTCCCTTTCGATTATTATACATTTTAGAATTTACGTTTCCGATTTATGGGATTGTATTCATAAAAAAGGGTGGACTTTCCAGTTTTCAGACAATATCTTTAAAGTGCTTTGAGGAGTTTTCATGAAACTTTTGTGACTGGTTTATATCTATTAAGATAACCTCCCTTTAGTTTTTCATAAATTTCTGATATGACATTGAAAAGTTATTGAACTTTATTCTTTTAAAAAGCGACGGGCGTACCATGCGCTCATGGCACAGCTGTTTATTTATACAGCCGCAAAAATTTTGCGATCATATATTGTTATGACATTTTCATCGTCATCGTCATTGTAGTCCGAAGACATTTGGTTTCCAGACAAAAGCTTCAGTATAGGTGTTTAGATCTCTATGAAATTGTACCACAAGGTTCCATACCACAAAAGGAATGTTAGAGTTTGATTTTGGGGGTTATTGTCGTAACTGTTTAGGAATAAGTAACCAAAAACAAGCATTTTTGTAGCTTCGGGACAATAACTTGTGTTTGAGTGTATGGATCTCTATGAAATTGTACCACAAGGTTCCATACCATATAAGGAAGACTGGGATTGACTGGGGGTTATGGTCCCAACGGTTTAGCAAAAACGGACCAAAAACAACACTTTTCTGATACTTTGTATAAATTGCTTATATCTTGACCAATTTCAAAGGTGTTTAATTCAAAGTCTTGTATTCGCTGGGTTCTTAATTTAATATGCTGAATCTAACCGTGTATCTAGATTTTGAATTTTGGGCACCGTTTTTATATTGGTCCACATTAAGACCCAAATGGTCAAAAATCAAACTGTCTTTGATTTCAACAAAAAATGAATGCTTGTAGGGGGTTCTTTGATATGCTGAATCTTTCCGAGTTTGGACAGAACGTAGGTTTTACTTAATTTCTCTCATTTTCTGATAATTTTTACAGTTCCTATTTTTATCATCCTCGATTTTCCATTTCCAGTGGAGGAAATTTGCCTGTTTTGCAAAAAAAGACATTTGAGGAGTCCAATCACGTTTCCTCTTAAAAAGTGTTCTTTCTTCTTGGTTGTAAGTTTTCAACTATTGTATTACATAAAGATGACATAAATGAGTTTATATTATAACTGATGAAGTTTTCAGACTCTTTAATTTTCGTTTCCATCTCAATATCAACTACTGTTTTGTACTCAGGAATGTCCATTTTGTTCCATTTATTTCTGTAAGCATGTATTTTTTCATTAACCACCTTATCCGCCTGTAAATCCCTGTGAATTAATACCATTACAGGGTCATGGCTAGAAGTATTAAGAGGTTCTCTCTCAAATGTTACATACATTTCCACAATATCCTTGTTTTCAATGAAATAGTCTATTTGTGATTCATCCCTCCCTATCTTTAAAATGATAAAAAGGTATTTTGTACAGGACACATAGTAGGTATTTTCAAATTATTTTCATGTAGAAAGTTTTTGAAGTCATCATCTCTTACATTTATCGTACTGCGATGTGATGACACATTTACATCACCTCCAGTCAATATATCAGATGATTGTCTAAATTTGAATATGATTTCAACCAACTCATCGAGTACTGCTATGCTCAGAGCATATCCGGCAATAAAATACTACAATCTATATATATAGCCGATAGCCTAACAAGACTGGTGGACACCGAATTTATTTATATAACACACAACATTTGTAATTGTCAATACAAAATAAAATTCATAATTTCATAATTTTTATGTATATAAAAATCAAATATTATAATCCTATGATCATGTGTGTTCAAGAAATATGTTGCTCTGTCATTAACGATCTCGCCGGACAAGACCAACAAAAACGAGTTCACTGGGTCAAACTACAGAAGAAGAAGAACATTTATTTCCAATTATGGGCCCCAAAGGGCATAAACATTACAACATCAATAATTTTCACAATACAATACAAACAATGAGATAAAAAAGACAAGACAAAATAAAGAACAATTTAAGTTCTTTAAGTAATATCTATATAGATAAAGAGCCTATAATTATGCCCCGCCGTAGCGGAGGGTGCATTAAGTTTTACTTTGCCGTCTGTACGTACGTTCCAAAGTTGGTTTCCGTTCTCTAACTTTAGTTTGCCTCAACTAAATGTTGTGAAACTTAAATACAATGCTTATTACCACAAAACACAGATCAAGTTTGAATTTTGGTGGCGTCACTTCAACCGTTCTAGAGTTATGCCCCTTCACAAATGGAAAAATTGCTGAATTTTTCGTTTCCGTTCTCTAACTTTAGTTTGCCTCAACCAAATGTTATGAAACTTATATACAATGCTTATTACCACAAAATACAGATCAAGTTTGAATTTTGGTGGTGTCACTGTTACTGTTCTAGAGTTATTCCCCTTTACAAAGGGAAAAATTGCTGATTTTTTCGTTTCCGTTCTCTTACTTATGTTTGCCTCAACCAAATGTTATGAAACCTATACACAATGCTTATTACCACAAAACTCAGATCAAGTGCAAATTTGGGTAGCGTCATTCTTACCGTTCTTCAGTTATGTCCCTTTATAACTTTATATGATATGCAAGCGGGGGCATCATCTGTGTCCAATGGACACATCCCCCTTTTATTTTAAATATATAATGCAAGTGTGATTGATATAGATAACAAACAAACAGCCAAAAATAGATAACCACATATATATATATCACATAATTAGTTTAGATAAACATATATTCAACTAGCCAAAAAAAAAGAGTTAATCATGTCTACGGGCCATCCTGTGTCAGCAGCAAATAGGAAAGAATAATGGTTTCCTAAAGGCAGCTGACACCAGGGGGTGATACCTTATGGACCATAGGCATGTCAAATATGTGTAAATGTCTCATTCCTACCTGTATCAAAAGCAAACAAGGTAGCATCATAGGTAACGTGAATGCAGTTGATACCAGGGGACGATGCCTTAAGGATATAAGAGAACATTTGAATAAATTATGTATTCTATAAATATATATATATATAAAAAGATAAAAATCAGCTAGTATGTTTGTGATATTCAGATCAATATATTTTTCTAAAATGTCCAATCAAATGTACATACATGCATAGTTTCTCATTAAAAAATATTCACTAAGGAAGATGTTTGTATATAAAATTACATATTATTTTAAGTAAATCAACATTTTCTACACTAAATAACCAGATGATTTTGTTTTGACTGCTCATATTATTTAAAATAAGAATTACGTTTTGCAATGCTAGCTAACATATAATTTCTATCATCCTCAACAAAAAGAAAATGAGCCTCGTCTTCGACAGTATTGGAAGAACATTTATTACATATTCTGTTAAGTCGGGGAATACCCTGATATCTACGTAGTTCTATTTGTAACTTATGAGAAGATACACGTAACTTTGTTAAACTTCTTCTTAGCTCAAAATTCTTGATCAATGTTAGATATTACGCAATTAATGTTCAACGTTCATCGTATTAATAACCCGTACCATACGCGTATGGTCGGACCATATGAGTAATTACGCATATGGTCATGACCATACGCGTATGATCAAGTACTCATATGGTCAGGAACATATACATTATACAAGGTTATCAATGTTTGATAAATAAATTACTTGCCCCTAGGTCTAACAAAGAAAATTATGTTGGAATGCTATATTTGCCATGTATTTCAGACAATCTAATGTTTATCATCTTAATTACGTGTTATAATGTTCTTTTATTTGTCTTTGTAAATCATTAAAATTTACTGTTAAGTCCATTTTTGGTAATATCCTTTTGGCGTGGCTGGGTACTTATGGGATGCATGTGTTGTTCTGTGGTAATTTTTTGTATTCTTGTCTTTCATTTTTGCTAATGTGCTTTGTCTATGTCTTTCATTTTTGCTAATGTGCTTTGTCTATATGCCATTTTGTTTTTCTTTGTTGACATATTTG